CTTAGTACGTAGAAGATCTTAAAGCCTCTTCTCAGTGGTTTACATATACTTCCGACATGCTGGAAGATTCGGCCTGTTCTGGATGTATAGGGACCGCTCGGACGAAGAAAGTCATGGACAGAGTTCGAGTCTTTTTCGTTACTTTTTGATGTAAAGCTTGCTGAAAAGAATCTGGAAGTATGTCCTTCAGTAAGGCGAACTCTCCTAGTTTTGTCGAGTAGTTTGACCAGTCCTTCGATTTCTGAATCATTGCCATTACATTCTTGCAGTTCGTCCCAAAATACTGACATGTACTATTCTGAATCATACTCTCCATCGCCCATATCAGTGTTTCCAATTATGTGTGGAAAGAAGACATACAGTTTTCTTTGTTTCTTAGACCTAAAAGATGTTCTTTTCCTAACCCGTCCATCCAAACTCATCCATATCCACTATGTTATGTTTCCGCTGTCCATGATCCATCCATATCAATAGTATATTTGATGAGGATGCATTAGAAGTTTATTATAGTCTCGTAACCGGTGATGATGCTTTAGTAGATCCCTATTATTATTTGAGGAATATTTTAGAAAAATAACTTTTAGTCATTTTCAAAATTGTCATTTCCTACATGGCAGTTACACAAGCTCGCTCACACTACATTGAAAGATCATTTGTTAACTAAACTAATTACAAAAATTACCATTGATCAATATATTACAACTTGACTAATACTCCTTATGTTCCTAAAAGATAGACTTTTAGTGTTTTCACACATATTAAGAAAACACATTAAGTCACTATTGTTTTTAGTAATTTTTAATTTTGAACAATTTTTAATCAATAGTAATTTAATAAAACCAATTAATTTTTTGAAACTTGTAATTTTCTCATAGAAAACATAGAATATACATCTTTTTGAAACAAAATATGTTTCCAGAACATGGATCTTTTAGGAACGGAGGGAGTATATTATAAGCTTTTCTCTTATTGACTAACCAAACAAATTAAAACATAAACGTTTAATGCTATGACTTTATTTTTTTCTATAGAGAAGAGGAACTATTTTGTGATCTGTAGAGGAAATATTTTCCTATATACACGTCAAGAGAATTGTATATTAAACGTTGACCCCTACATAAAAATAAAAATTATGTGTAAAGTCTCGATCCTATGTAGTATATTCACAATGTTAGAGAATTCTATCATATATTCACCCAATTTGTCTTGGTTTTTACACATTTAGATATATATATATATATTACGTTCTTTTGTTAGTTGGAGTTATAACATATAGTATATGAATTTGTTATATTTACGAGTTCGTTATAAGATTGTTTGCAGTTTCTTATAAAGAGCAAGAACTAAAATCAAACTATAACATGGGTTATGATATAAATGCCTAACTATATATAAAAAGTGACCATCGAGAAATTCTATATATAGTTAATATATATATATATAAATGCGTTCTAATAAGGTTGTCTAACTATAGTGTTTATATAATGTAATATCTAACTATAATGTGTCCCCATATCAAGTATCAAATAAAAAAAAAAAAAAAAAAAAAAGCAAATCTGCAATTGGACATATACAGAATTCATATAACCTACCAAGTTTATTATGTTAATGTAATCAATTTTAAAATGTCTAGCCTACAAATCTGGGTGGCATTAAATAAAACGTGATGTGCAAGGACAAATTATATTGTGTTTACTAAAAGGAAACTTCTAATAAGTTTAATATGATGTCAAAAAAAAAAAAATAATAAGTTTGATATATGTTTTACGATTTTGGTAGCTAAATCTATGGATTAAACCCTAATAATCTGCGGTGGCATTACTTGTTTTAATTTTTGTATATTATTAGGGAGTCGATTATGGTTACACTCTTTTAACAAAAATGATTGTTTTATATAAGGAAGTTATATCATGAATTCAAAATTTTGTAATCAGTTAATAATCGACTAAATTTTTTTTAACTTTAGTTTTGTCGTATAAAAGGAAGTTTCATTATGGTGTCTATCAAATTTAGGTTAGTCTTAGTATATAATTATCGCGCAAATTATGTGAAATTAAATAGATAATATTATGTTTAATTATGGCGATTTGGAGATACTTATTATTGCCCTACACGGGTTTCACTTCTTAGTGTAAACATGTGTTCTTTATAATCAAATCAAACTCACCACACCTTTCTCCTAAACTCAAACGATTAATACAAACAACCTCATAAACAAACTCATGGTGCTTTTAACTTTGTGTCGACTTTAATTTTATAGTCAAGTTAGTAAATGTCCGTAAGTCTGTGGTAGAAGTAGAAATTTTTGAAGAATATATGACAGAACCTACCGATGGGAACAATAGTTTCATTGACCATAAGATCTGGTTCTTTGTAGTAAACATGGAGTAAGTATTTTACATTTAAAATTAAAAATTAAGCATTTAACTAATTTCATATTTTCTAAATTAATTTTACTTATAATTTGTTTCTTACGTATTTTATTTTTCTACTAATTATTTTCTTTAATATTATAATCATAATTTTTATTATGAAAACAATAAATCTATTTCATATGTTTTGTTTTGAATTAAATTTGTAATAAATGGGTTGAAATTATTGCATACTATTATATATTTTAACATAAAATAAATCTAATTACCACATCATAGTTACAAGGCTCGGCTTTTCTTATAGAACCAATCGTACATTATATTATATATACATTCAATATTTCGTTCGATATATACCATTAGATCTAATATTTGTGTTTATAACTTTAAAATTTCTAATATCATAAGATTAAAATAAAAATCTATGTTAGGCATTCATTCCACACAGGACGTGCACCTAGTACGTATATTAAAAATGTTAAATATGATGCAAATCTCTCATATTTAAAGGAAAAACTTAGTAACCACATATATTCAAAATATTAAGTGAGGCAAATGTCTTAATTTTAAAGGAAAGCTAAGTTCCACATATATTCAAAACTATTAAATATGATGCAAATGTCTTATTTTTAAAGGATTATCTTTTTTTTTTTTAAAGACTATCTTAATAACCCCATATATTCAAGATTATCTGATTAGACCCTAGTGCAGTCAACACAGCAGGTCCGTTATTCGTATTTCGCAGGCTTACTTCTTTCTTTACCTACCATACGACGTAGTTATCTATGCTTTTTTTTTTTTAACCACAAGTAGTTATCTATACTTTTATATATCTTTTTTTTTGTCACACTATACTTTTATATATCCTTTTCTCCATTTTGTTGGCTTTTTCTCTTTCATTTTTCTTTTTTTCCTAGTGTTCTCATCAAAAGTGTAAACACCATTAGGGGGTCAAGGTGACCGTTCCTAAAGTATCGGGAATATTCTAACCACATCATAGTTACAAGGCTCGGCTTTTCTTATAGAACCAACCTGACATTTCCATCTCGTGAAGTCATTCGTTTTTTTATATGTTTCTGTGATCCGATCTTACACAAATGGGAACTAAACTTTAAACTACAACTTTACATCTTAAACAATAACTACGTTTTGACAGAAAGTCATAACTAAATTTATTTCGTCAATGTTTCGTTATCTCTTCGGTCTTAAAAGTTTAAAGCGAATTTGTCTTACTCATGCTGGCGTGGAAGAACGATGTTAAACCCTATTTTAGAGATTACGAACTTTAATAAATCTCAATTAAATAGTAAATTTGTTTTGGTTACAATATAAAATGCCAAAAAGTATCAGAACCGGTTTTTATGACCGGAAAGTTGATACTGGATTCAGATTAAAATTATATTCCAAATGCCTTTGTTGTGTTAAACCAGATCGAAACTCGAACATCAATAAATCTATAGAAACACGGGTTTCATATTAAATATTGACGGAACAATTTAGCGCAAAAAGAATATAAATCTCAAATTAATAGCGGAATAATATGAAGTATAATAAAAAGTAGATGAAACATTTAGAATGAAAAACAAAATTATGTTAAACAACAATCACAAAGTGATAATAATATTTTGTGTAGGTTAATAAGATATTTTAATTAAATTTTAACTTACATGTCATATAGTATGTAGCAAATTTACGGTAAATAACAAGCATAAAGTGATAGATAACATTTCTGTAGATTAATAGTAGCATATTACTACTTTGATATATACGATTGGCATAAAAAAAATTATTGTTTAATAAATTGAAACTAAGTTAAAAAAAAGTTGAAACCACATATATTTAATTTTTTTTTGATAATTCAGGGATTCCTCACTTTGTGGGTCATTCCCCTAGGTTCGGTTAGGCAGCAGTTCACTTCATTTAGGATGATTTTACCTACCCTCAATACCATATTTAGTGATAAGATTTGGTAGTTCCCCCCCTCCGCCTGGAGTCGAATCCGTGAGCATGATAATTGGCTCACATAGTCCTTACCAAACGAGCTATCTCATCCCGTCGACCACGTATATTTAGTTGCAAACTGAACCGATGAGCTTTGGTTAATGATACTATGGGATGGGTTAATCTTGAAGCGCGTGTGTGAACATGTCCGATAGCTTTTGAGACAAGGTAGGTCCAAGTTCTTTTGGAATTTTGGGAACTCTCAAGACAAGCAATGTCTTTAATTATGTGCTTTCGGTGTCTCGTTATTTTTCTTCTGGATTTTCAAACGGCATTATAAAATAATACATATATAATTAATTATTCAATCCATATAATTAATTAATTAATATGCCCCATAGTGCAAAACATTGTGCTATATATATCAAACGCTTCACAACCATTCAACACTCTACCACATTTGTTTTCTCTCAACCATTCTTCTAGTTTAATGACTCACTAATCACTTTTGATTTCTTATATAGCTATATACTCTGATTTAAAGTCAGAGCCCCTTTTTCTCCAGCCAGTTTCTTTGACCCCTCGCAATTACCTCTGCCCTCAAATTCAAATTCAAATTCCAGTCTATATTACCCATCGTTATTTCCATTTTCTTCTTTAATCTTGTGTCTATTGTTTATCTCAAAATTAAAAAGAAGAGCTTGGGTCATTGGGCTGGTTTTTTTTAACTGTTGTCAAACGATTTCTTTCGGACAATGATCTTGTCACAAAAAGAATGCAATCAACGTGAGTTGCAAGCTTTTCTTAAGAACAAATCAAGTGTCGAAAAAAGTTTTTATTTCTGGATTTTCAAAAAATATTTAGTAGATTTGATCGCTAATTCTCTCTTGTCTCACAAGCAAAAGCAACAAGTGTGAATCATGCAAATGGGAAGTTCATGTTTACCTCCTGGATTTAGATTTCATCCAACTGATGAAGAGCTCATAGGCTATTACTTGAGTAGAAAAGTCCAAGGTCTCGAGATTGAGCTTGAAGTCATTCCTGTTATCGATTTATACAAATTCGATCCCTGGGAGTTACCAGGTAATTTAAGGAAAAGCTTGTTTGAGTTAATATCATTCATAAGATTATATCTAATTGTTATCTTCTTTAATCGCTATCTTTGTTGTTTTAGATAAATCCTTCCTACCCAATAGAGATATGGAATGGTTCTTTTTCTGTCCGAGGGACAAAAAATATCCAAACGGTTCTCGAACCAACAGGGCTACAAAAGCCGGTTATTGGAAAGCAACAGGTAAAGACCGGAAAATCACTTGTAAATCATCTGGTGCTATAACCGGATACCGGAAGACCTTAGTTTTCTATGAAGGTCGTGCCCCATTGGGTGATAGAACTAGCTGGTTTATGCATGAATATCGCCTTTGCGATGACGATCTTTCTCAAAGATCACCAAACTTCAAGGTAAGAGATTTATAATTTGTTTCAATATCTTCATCCCTTTAATTAAATGGAAAGAAACCTAAGAACCATATATCTATGTTGGAATTTCAGGGAGCTTTTGCGTTATGTCGTGTAGTCAAGAAGAACGGACTTAAGATCAAAACTTTGAAAAATAAAAACGAACAAGTTATTGGTTCAGGTTGCTCTAGCCTTGCGAGCTCTCCATGTCGAGATGAAACGACGCAGTTTCAAACTTTCAAGCCTTCTTTAACTACAAACGAATCTCCTAGCATTTGGATTTCTCCTGATTTCATCCTTGATTCCTCAAAAGTACGTGCTATTATCTAAACCAAAACAGTTTTGTATACACAAACACTTGTCTAATTTGGTCTGTGAAATTTAAATATAGGATTATCCTCGAGTTCAAGAGGGTGCTTCTGAGTACTTTCCCAACTACCATTTTCCAGTCAATGGTGCGAACCACCAGATGGGATTTCCAGAGAACTCTTATTTGAACATTGATCAATCTGTCCAAACCGGGAACTGGCCAAATTATGAATATGACCAAACCGGTTCATTCGATTACTCAAACCTTTTCTAGGTATAAGCAAATGTGCGGGTCTCTTCAGGACAGAAACGCCTTTTAATGTTGGAGTCCTCGAAGAAGATAAAATTGGTTTTTCATACATTTGGAGTCTCTTGCATTTTATTTTTAGAATATATATATATATATATATATTGGTTTTTGCCTTTTTGGTTTTGATTTTAGTAATGATAATATTTTAGGCTGTGGAATGACTATTTTATACTCCTAATTTGTTATATGAACTCTTATTTTACGTTCCGATATGTATTCAAGGAGAATGATATATCTCCCAAGTCCCAATCATTAACTGGACATAACTTATAACCTTTAAACCAAGGTAATGATAGCAATCACTTGTATAAGAAAACCAATAAATTCGGGACAATTTCATATTTTCTAAGTTATGTAGATGCATAGTTTTTGAAAATCCATAAAGTGGATTTTGAAAAGAAGATTACGACGATTCAGAAATACAAATGTAGAAACTAGTAGGAGGCAAATGTGACGCAGAAAATGGTTTAACGATGTTTGAAAGCCTAAAAAATAGCAATTTTCACTTGTTGGAAAGCTTTAGCATATTTTTTCTCACGACCATTTTCTATAACTATTTCTATTAAAATGTATAAGAATATTAGTTTAAATTTTTTTTCATTTTGATTTAACGACTCGATCACTTTTAGAGATTACTATACTTTTATTTTTGATAAGACTGCTATACTTTTACTGCACACCAGATCCCTGTAATGATTAGTGACAACATAATTTTGAGGGATTTATTGCTTTTTAACACTTCAAAACAAGCATAAAACTAAAAATGAAGAAATAGAAAAATGTTAGACAAAATTAATATTAACAATTTTTTTCTTGGTTTTATGAAGTGCTGTCTTTATAATATAATGTGAGTGTTAGAAAATATATATAATGATCAAGTTTTCTCACAGGTTTTGATCTATCCTCAAAATTTCTAATATATATAGAGAGAACGACAATCAAATCAGAGGATACGAGACTTTTTTTTAAAATGTATTGGTTGCTAGATTCTTTTTTTTTTGTTGGAAAAGTTTTAGATGAAGAAAACAGTGAGTAAGTGTAAGTGGGGGAAATTACTATGAGCCTTAGGAGGCTTGGAATTAGATAGCATCAAGTACAATTACTTTATGAATAATATTTATGATTTGTGACTTTCTGTTTTGGATTTTTGGCGGGTTTTGCAAGTGTAGGTTGTCTGAAAGTTCATTGATATTTCTTTCGAAAAAATGTCATTTAAATCACCAATTTTAAAATTTGATTGAAAAAAAATATGAATTTTCTTTTGAACCATTTAAAACCTCAACTTATTTTGACTAGCCGTTATAATCTCTAACATATTTTGACTAAGCCATTTTAAACATACCATTAAAATGGTTAACATATTTAGTTAACAATCTTAATCTCTCCGTCTATTATCTCTTTTAAATCAACACGACGTCGTTTTAAATTTAACAAAAAAAAATTGCAGGGTTCAAACCCGAGACCAAATCTAAGAATATTTGCGTCCCTTAGGGCATCTCCATCAAGAGATGTAAAGAGAAGTTTACACAGATTCCAAAAAAAAAGAAATATTATAATAATCAGAAAAGATGAACTCGGCTCGGAGAAGTACGTCGCGACGAACTTGTATCATTACTGTTTCGTGGGCCCCACGCCACGTGGCGGCCCACGATTGATCCCACTATTAATTTTTTTTTTAAAAAAAAAATCAAAAAGAAAGTGAAACTGTTTTCGATGAACCTGAGTCTCCTAGTTCTTTAATGGGGATGGTCTTACAGTTTTGTAATCCTGTGAATCTGTGATATTGATGTGTTAAGTATCTAAATAGTACATATTTTTCGTATTGGGTCCATAGCTCAGTGGTAGAGCAATACATATTTTTCGTATTGGGTCCTTTATTTTTGAATCTATCCTCACCTATCCTTATGCTTTTCTCCTGGATTCCCGGATTCATTCTCGTCCTGATCCACTCTGGAATTTTCGTTCCTCGAGGCGTTCCTCGAGAGGGAACCTCTTCTTCAGGATTAATATGGAGAAATTACACATGTGGGTCTTCCCCACCATTCCTAAACGATCAATTGATCCATATATAAGAATATAAATAAGAGTTTGAGACATAAGGCCATAAGCTGTGTTGTCTCGACAAGATTGTGGTCTATTTGGAATCTAATGTCAAGACTTGAGTTTGATAATAGAAATCATCAGAACCATGACTATAAAGTGATTTCTCGATCGCATGTTTCTTTAATGTTACTCTTTCTAGTTAGTAACTTCTGCAAACGAAAACACGAAAAGGTTTGATTCTTATTTACCATGATGGACAAACCGAATCATGCCGAACCGTATAATCGATTCTTTATACCGACCGGATAAATAAAATAGAAAAACTTATTCCGCGGCGCCGACACTGATCACAACATTAGCCGGTTTTTCGGACCGGACATCGTCAGCCGTTGGATCATACTCTTTAAAACATGCGATCCTTCCCAATTCCTCCACTTCCTCGATTACATTATCAAGCCTCGCCACCATTTCCACAAGTAACGACGCAAACGCTGCGAAGGGCAAAGCCTCCGAGAATTCAAGGCTAGTCATCACCGCGATTTTGCTCAGCTGCGGCCGTAACATCCTCCTCTCTCCCGCTGCCCCCGCCGCTGACGTCTCGGACCTATTATTGTTTTTGAACGATCTCCGGTACTCCATCAAAGCTGACGTGTCCGTCCTGAAGCTCGACAGCGAAACGGCACCGCTTTGGCCTTGACGTGAACCCGTCTCTGCAGTTTTGTTTGAAACGTCGTTTTCACGGTTGCGCTGCGAAACGGCGTTTTGGTGTTTATTATTGTGACGGTGGAGATTGGAGCCGAGGAAGAGTTTAGGCTGAGACTTGATGGCGGAGTTAAGGTCTTGGAGTGCCACGTGGAGATGGTCGGAGAGAATCTCTGGCGAACAGTGACGGTGGTTTGAGATGCTATCGGCGAGTTCCGACAAAGCTTTGCATACTTCTCCGGCTAATCTTACACAAGGATCTTTGAAAAGAGCGCGAACAGATCTTGGAGTCTTGAAAGACACATAACAAAGTATAATATTTTAGTTTAATTTTAATTAATAGCATTACTTATTAATATGTAACACACTTACTTGTATCTCAGTTTGTAAGCAACCATGAAGAGCAACAACAGTGTAACCAAACCGACGAAGAACAGCTCCAACTTTAACATATTGTTGGCATGGGAATCTATGACATCGTCTCGTGTGTCTTGGTTCCCAATTTGCATATAATGCCTTTTTCATTAAAAATATATTATATTTTAGCTTTTAATTTATTTATTTTGAACTAAAGAAGTACAAAAAGACTTACAAGTGTTTCATCGATGGATTTAGAATCCAAAACAGCTTGATACCCTTCATAGATTCTGTCTTTTGAATCTGATGTTTCTTTCTCTTTTTCCTCAAAGTACTCACTCACACATGCTACAAAATAAATATATATATATATTGAAAAGGGACATGAATTATGTTATTTCTACGATGTTTAAATAATATACATACGTTATGTACCTTCTATAGAGCGAGAGAGGCCTTGGAGTTTACCGACGGTGGTCTTGTGTAGATCTTCACCGGACCAAATAGGAAAAACAAGAAGGCTCATGAAAAGACATATTCCGCAACCGATAGCTATAGTGTAGAATCTATCGTGTGCTATGTTTATCACACTGTCTACTCTATAGCTCGAAACCGTTATGAGATTGAACGTCAAGAGAAATATCACAACACCATAATCATAATTCTTCTTTATATACGGTATAAATCTTATATATGTTGCAGCCGCTCCTGTAATTTAGAAAAAGAACACAAATGAGTAGTTTTTTGTTAGAACTTAATATACAGAGATGTTTCTGAAAACCTACAGATTAGTTTAGGTTTAGAGAGAATTCAATTAGATAACAAAATCCCATTTAGTGTTTTATCATAGAATTTTTCGCATAAATATTTGACTAGCAAAATGTTAGCGGGTTTTAAACGAGACGGAAATAATAATTTCTTGAAATTTATAAGAAAATATCAGACGTATACGGTAAGTTAGTAGCAACAAAAGGTAAATATATAGAAAAGTACATACCAATGATAAAAACAGCAGTGCCAATGAAGATAGCTCGAAGAACTTTGCCGGAATCATTAGCGACAAACTCAATGAAAAATGCCAAGGATCCCGCTATTAGTGTTCCTAATCCTCTATTAAGCCCTTTGCACAACGTTGCACCTAAAGAATCAAAAAATCCATCACATGTTATACACTAATTAAATTACGATATTAAGGAATTTTAAATTGTATGTCCAGCAAACGGATCATTGACACTTTCGCTACACTTTTTTTTTTTTTTTTTTTTGTAACTGCAGTTCGCTACACTTACCGGCAGAGAACTCGAGAACGACAACGACGGTCATGACAGCCCAAATCGCATTGCTCCCAATGTTTTTGAAGAGAGGCTCCATGAGATATAACAAAGAGACAAGTGTCAAGGAAATACCTACTTTAAGGGCATGTATTACCCTTCTTGGATCTTCTTTTCCGACATCCCAAATCCTTTTCGGAATCTTCTTGATTTTCTCGGAAGGTTCGAACACTTTCCACTTTCTCAAACCTTCGTCCATCTCAGTGCTTCCAACGTGAACCTTGTTGGACATTTTGAGGGTGAGGAAATGATTCTATATTTCTCTCTCTCTCTCTCTCTCTCCTTTTTTGTAATAGAATGTGTTCTTAATTTGTTATTGTGCTACTCTCTATATATATAGCTCTTTGTGTGTGTATGTATATGTGTAAATATAGAGTGATGGGGATCTATGGTTTGCGTACATAGTTGTTAATACGTGTGTGTGTTGGTTGAACTACGATAATTTCATACATTAGGTTTTCCTTTTTTTTTTTACTTGTCGCATGATTTTACAAAATGACGATTATATTAGGGTATAAATTTATTTTGATGTTTTGACATTCTGATGACAAAATAAACTATCATTTTGCGATTTCGCTTAATGGTCATTTTATTCTATTTATCGCGTAATGATTTTTTTTTACCTTTAACGATTATTGTCTATAGAAATACAAAAAAAAAAAAAAAAATCAATACAACGCTCCTAATAAATATAAAATCCTTGTGGTGTTACCATTTTACCTCTATATATATGTGTATATGCTATAACATAATTTTTTTTTTTTGAATATTTACTTTTAATATGTACATAAATAATATTCTCTTGTGCCCAAGTGATGAAAGATTAGATTGATGGGTTTCACATGACTTGCAATTATTGATGTTGATATTAATTAAAGTAATTTTTCTCTTGTATTCACAAGATCGAAATAAGAAGTCAAAAGTTACTGAAAAAGAGACTAAGCTAACATACGTTCCAAACAGAGGCGGTCCTAGTATTTTTGAGGCTGCAAGCATAACAAGTAAAATGTGGCCAAAATATATTTTTGTAACAAGGAGCATTCGAACCCCGCCCTTAATGAAATGAACAAAACTTTTTCAACCACTAGACTACAGAGTGTTTTTGTTGATTTTGTGACTGGTTAAAACCTTATAATTTTGCGGCTGGAAGCACATGCTTCATCCGCTTATAGCAAGGGCCGGCTCTGGTTCCAAAATATAGCTAATTTACTAATTATAAAATACGAGATCCAATTATTATTCTTAGATACCAACATTTGCACTGTATAATAATATACATGAGTATAAAACTAATATGGTTAAGAAGATATTTCGAAAAACTAGATCGCACGTTTTTATCTTAGACTAATTACAAAAGTTGGATATAAACATTTTAGATACATTAATTACTCGAACATAATTAAATCATATTGGTGATTATTTCTTATCACACTGATTATATATGCGAGGAATGAGAATTAGTTAAACACACGGTAGTAGGTTAGTGGTCTCCGGTTGAGTTAAGCGCAGTCGTTTGACTGAAGCGTTCTTGAGGTTTGTTCGTCCCTAAACTTTGTGTGGCCACAAAGTGTTTTACGCCATTTAAAAGTATAAGCAAATGCTGAATCTGGGTCAGGGATGACTACGGACCTACGGATTACAGAATTCCTCTATTAAAAAAATGAGATTAGTTTTTTTTGTTCAAAATGTTAAGATGGAATGAAAATTAGTTATCACTTTATATCAGGACAAAAGAGATTAAATATGTAGAGTCTTTACTCGAACTTCTATTTTACTACTCAATAAGTTATTGATGATATGCCCTAGAAAACATATGTAAATAATCTACACGAAAACAAACTCAAATTGTATATGGTAAACCATAAACGATACAAGGTTCCATTAGGAAACATAGTGGTGATAAATATAAGGGAAATTAGCTCAAAAACATGAATTTTAGAATTTATATTGAAATTCATACAAAAGTTTTTTTTATTAAAACGTGCTTTTTTTATGCTGTAAAAAAAATCGTAATTATAAGAATACTATTACTTTTTAGTGCCACGCAGGCAAAAACTCGCCTCCACGTTAGAATGCGGCACAAAACTCAGTTATAATACGATACGAATTTCGTTACGACCGAAATATAGTTAGGATGCGGCTGACTTAAAGAAAGCGGCTTGTTTATGAGACATACGCTGAGTCATGAACATAACTCAGCCTCCCGTGACGACTGACTTAAAAAATTCAGGCTGATTTATGTGATAACGGCTTAGTGATGCTCACATGTTATGACTGACTTATACATCGGTGGGCTAATTTCTAAAAAATCAGGCTGAGTTCTAGTTACGATACGGCTAAGTTAACTATCGCGGCTGGTTAAATGATCGTCGACATGCTGAGTTATGAGAGGTTACTGCGGCTGAGTTATATTTAATCAGCTGTAATAACATGGATTAAGTAAACTCAGTTTAGTTACGCCTGACTTATTAGCAAAAGATTAATTACTAGACTAACTTTCATTTGTCGACTGATTTATAAGACGACACGGCTGTCTTAATAGCGAACATCTTTATTACAACTGATTTATTAGCAAAAGATTAATTACTAGACTAACTTTCATTTGTCGACTGATTTATAAGACGGCATGGCTGACTTAATAGTGAACATCTTTATTACGACTGGTTTATTAGCAAAAGATTAATTATTAAAATATTATTAACGTATCGATTGACTTACCATGTACTTGCTGGCTGACTCATTCTAGCTGACTTAAGTGTTTGTTTAGTGGTCGACTTACCAATTTTCCATGTCATCATCCATGTCAATTTTTATTTGCCATGTCATTACACCAGTGAAATTAGGGTTTATGTTACAGACACCGCTCTCTATTCTTCATCTTCTTCTCTTTCTCTAAAATCTTATTGATCTGGTAATTATTGTTTCAGGTAACTGGAGTAAGAAAAATAGATATGTATTCCAACCCGATAGCAGAGGATGTATAGTTCTGCATGCAGATGAGAAAACAACACTCGACGAACTCGCAAAGTCAGTATTCGATGATTACGGTTTGAATGAGCCGAGTCATCAGATTCAGCTTAGCTACATGCTCTCGATTAAAGCTTTGAAAACAATGGCGCACGATACGCCACCAGTTTACATTTCCAATACTCAAAAATTGCAAATTTTTTTAAGCCTAAGGAAGATCGAAAAATTACGTCTATGTGTCGAGATTACGGAGAAGGAGGATGGTGAAATCAACTGAAAAGACGGAGCGGGAGAGAAGAGTAAAAGATTATACAGTTCAGAATCAGAATTCTCAGAAGTTGAATCTAGATACGACGATTACGAAGAGAGTTACGATGGTTTAAGTTTGGAGGAGGAACACGACGACAATGAGAATAACTTCTCTAGTATCTAGGACGGAGAAAAATAGAAAGATGTTGGAGAAGATGAAGAAAGCGAAGAAAAGATGAATTTGATAGCCGATTTGATATGTTCGACGAATCAGATGGTGCGTCATCCGAAGATGATAACTTCAGCTCATACAGTGAGTCTCCAGCACAAGACGAAGATTCACCGACACTACCGCCTAAAAAGAGATCTCAGAACTTGTGGATGGGCGGATCTAAAAGGGATCCATAGTTTCTACGGTTAGAGATGTCTTCGCTAAAGCTTGCTGTAGGGAAACGATGCGAGAGTAAAGCCGAGTTGAAAAAGACGACTGAAACTTCTTTCAGTGAAAGATCGATTTGATGTTGATGTGGAAGTATCCAATTCAGATTTACTCAATGTTAAATCTTGGGTTGGTGGATGTCTCTGGAGAGTTCGTGTTTCAACACAAGGGGATTCTCCGACATTCTATGTTCGTATTTACGATTCAGAACATACATGTTCTGTAACTGATCGTTCTAATCGATGTTGACAAGCAACACCAGATATTTTAGGGCAATTGTATAGGGACTATTTCGACGACGTTGGTCCATCCGTTCAACCTACGAGTGTCAGAATAGCTCTCAATAAGCAGTTTGGTCTCAAGGTAATTATTTTACTAAAGCTGACTTATAGCAACGATACGGCTGAGTTATATCTTCACTTTTTGGCTGATTTATTACATGTCCGGCTGAGTTAGTTAAATTATATGATTTATTGGGCTGGGTTACTTATATGTTTTGGCTGAGTTAGTTAAGCTATTAGGTTGGGCTGAGTTATTTATACATTTAGGTTGAGTTACGTTTAGGTTGGACTGAGTTATTTATACGTTTCGGCTGAGTTACGTTTAGGTTGGGCTGAGTTATGTATACGTTTCGGCTGAGTTAGTTAAGTTATTAGGCTAAGTTATTTATACATTGCGGCTGAGTTAGTTAAGTTATTGGACTAAGTTTTGGCTGAGTTTGTTTAGTTATTGAGCTGAGTAACGTTTTGGTTGGGCTGAGTTATTTATACGTTGCGACTTACCTTATTTGTATTCATTTGGGCAGATGTCTTATTGGAAATCATATAAGACGCTGAAATTTACAAGGAAAATCGATGAGGGAACACCTGAGAGTGGGTTTGAAAACTTGCCTTCTTACTTATACATGACAAGAAGTGAAAATCCGGATAAAGTAACGCGTCTTCAAATCGATGAGTTTAGAAGATTTATGTATGTGTTCCTTGCGTTTGGTGTGAGCATTAATGGGTTTCCTTTCATGCGCAAAATTGTGGTCGTCAACGGTACGTTTCTATTAGGCAAATACAAAGGGACGCTTCTAACATCACTAGCTCAGGATGGTAACTTTCAGATTTTTCCAATAGAATTTGGTGTGGTTGACACAGAAAATGACGATTCGTGGCACTAGTTTCTTACGCAACTAAAACTTTTCATACCTGACGATAAAGGGTCTTGCGATAATCTCAGATAGGCATAACTCGATTGGGAAGGCTATTCAAAATGTGTATCCGTTGGCTTCTGGGGGAATTTGCACGTACCATTTATATAAGAACATTTTGGGACGGTACAAAGGAAAAAAATGTATTTCTTCTGGTGAAGAAAGCGGTGAGATGTTTTAGGATGCGTGACTTTACTACGATTTACGAGGAAATTGAAGCGATTAATCCTGAACTTCACTGCTACCTCGAAAGAGCAGATCCCCGATTGTGGGCACGTGTTCATTTCCCGAGCGAAAGGTATAATTTGATGACTACGAACATTACATAATCAATGAACAAAGCATTATCAAATGCTAGAGGTCTTAACATTGTTCGACTATTAGAATCGATACAGGTTATGATGACCATATGGT